ATGAGCCAAAAATTCACGTGTCGAAACAAAATAAAATTTCTAACGAGACACGTGTATCACCTCCTTTCCCGCACCTGCTCTCCGCCGTTCACGTAACGCTCACGTGTATCATGTTGTAAGTATCCGTAACACGCCATTCTACCCGGGTCATAATGCAACGTGGAAAAGGTAATAGCACAGGACAAACCTGCACGTGATGTGTTGCATACTTACGAAATCGCCTTCTCTTGTTCCTTGCTCTTCGAGCGAATCGAGGGGAACTTTCTCTCTCTCTATCTTATTGTCTCTGTGTGGGTGTCGGCGCGCGGATACGTATGCGTGAGTTTCCGGGGGGATAGAAACCCGGTAGAAGCGCGGTAGTGAAGGAGACAGGGGGAGGGCGGCCGAAGGCAGAAATGGGAAGGAGGATGGTGGATCGGGGGTTCGAGGGAAGCGGCAGGCTGCTTGGCATGAGGAGCGTTCATCAGCCCCGAGGTTTTAAATACGAAGCGAGGAAGGGAACTAAGGAAGAAACCACCCCGTCTCTACTTTACCAGTGACGGATTGATTAAAAATCTAAGGGGCGAAAATAACATCGGGCGCCTTCGTCTCTAGTCGCGCGACGACTCGTTTGGGACAATTTCTTGAATGCGAAATCTCTCTCTCTCTCTCTCTCTCTCTCTCTCTCTCTCTCGCGATACAGCGCAGCGTGCTTTTGGTCCTCCCTGGTTCTTTTTCTCGCCGCACAAAGTTGCGGATTGTAAAAGAGAGAGATAGAGGGCAAATAGAATTATCGATCGCGATCTTTCTCGCAAAGAACGTTAAATCAGGCTTGCAACCATGATGATGCTTGCATGTATATGCGATGATTATGTTTATTAACAAAGATGTCAAAGATATTTTATAAAAGAAATGCTTCGCTCGCGATATGTTTTAATGCGCAGTTCTCTCATTTGATATTCTGTATCGAATCGGTTTTTCGTCAGCTATTCGTGAATGATGCCTTAATTTGTTCTCGGTTAAAGATATCATGAAATTTCCTCAATAATTAATAGGACGTTTATTACTTCATTGCTGATAAATATTATAGTAGATCTCTCAAACTGCATGAAATTAAGCTCTCTTTAATAAAATTAAATATGTAAAATTGTGATCGCAGTATCTCAGTCTAATCGGGAATTTATCTTAAAAAGTAAACTGTAAAAACACAGACACACACATACATTTATTCATAAAAATAGTCACACACATGCATATACCCAACATATGCACTTCATAAAAAGAGTTACACACGCGCGTGTGTAAAAACATAATGTAGTATAAAAAAAAGAATATATTTTTAAAATAAAATTGCTGCATATGTAGAACTATAAATAGTTTTTCACACAAAGTTTTTAAGTATTGTATATATATATTGCACAGACATCTTGCATCTTTTAAATTGATCTCCTTAATTTACAAAGTGAGAATTATTGTTGGATATTTTGGCAAAGTCGAAAAATAGTTTGTTGCATTGATGTTTACACGATGTTCTACATTGTAAGTATTAGGCGAATATGTAGAATGATATAGAAATTAGAAAAGAAATTTGCGACGAGCTCCTCGGCCCTGAGCCGAGCCAGTCCGTCGTCTTACGCATTGGCTATGTGTAGTTTTAAATAGTCCGCCGAGGGGTGGGCGCCGGGCCGGAGCACGGGGTGCTCTCTCACGCTCTCGCTCTCTCGGCGAATGGGGTTGATGTGGGTGAGGTGGATGAGGTAGTCGAGGACGAAGAGGGTAGAGACAGCGGAGAGAGAAAGAAAGAAAGAAAGAGAAGGACACGGAAAGCGAGAGAAAGAGAACGGGGACGAGCAAGGGGGACCGGTCGAGAGAGAAACGAAGAGAAGAAAAAGCGGGGGGAAAGAGACGGGGGATAAAGAGCGGAGAGTAGACGACGAGGGCCGTCGGAGATAAGACGCAAACGAACCCCCTTTCGCGTGTCTCGATCGATAGCTCTACGCGGAAAATTCGAAAGTAAGATGCAATTAAACAGCGAGCGAGGGTAAGCAAGAAAAGGGGTGAGTTTTCCAGCCCCGTAGGCCCTCGTCCCTGTCCCCCTCGCGTCTTATCCCACTCCACTCTCCCCCCTGGCCCCGGTACTGCCATCCAGGCAGCCCTTCGACGCCGCTACCCACCCGTCCTCGACCCTCCTCGATCCACCACCTTTCCATCGTAGCCTTCCTCCGTCCACCTCCTCCCTGTCTTTCTTCCGCCGTGCTTTTCCTTCCACCTCCCACCGATGGACTTTCGTCTTCTCGTTTTCTCGCGCACCCGCTTTTCTCTCCCTCATTGAACCTCTCTTTCCTCCTTCCCTTGCCGAAGACCGTGCACGCTCCGGCCGGCGTCGTCGGCCCGAAGGGAAGCAACCCTTTTTCTCAACCCCCTCTAGTATTTATATTGAGCGTCTTAAAGCATCTCCTTACCGTCCTCCTCTCCCTCCCCCCCCCTGTTCGTGCTCCTTTACCACCTCTCTCCTCTCTTTTCTTTTTCCATCTCTCCTCCTATCTGTTCGTCGCCTACTACAAACCTTCGAACCCCGTCCACTTGTTCCTCTTTATTCCTTCTTTCCCTCTCCTCTCATTCGCGCGCTTCTTTTTGCACCCACACTCTTGTGACGTCAGCGCTCTGACGTTTAAATACTCTTTTCTTGGGCGATAGGTACAAGGGAACTGGTAGTCACTGTCTTTGCGGAAAAAAACTCGGACGGTCTTCGTATCCATTCTTTCTCTATTTCTTCATCATCTCTTTCCTTCTTCCTAGACTTTCTTTGTGCGGCTTGTCCGATTCCGCGTCATGTTTCTCTCTTTATCTTCTTCCTGTTGCGTTCTCCACTTCCATGTTATTTTCCTTTATCTTTTTCTCTCGCTTTTTCTTTCGCGAAAATGTCCAACCGACGTGCAATGTTACTTTTATTCTGAAATGAGAATTTAAACATTTTTCAGACTAATAATTAATGCACATGATAGCACATATGCTATGTACGGTATGTTCCTTATACGGCCGGAAGCTTGCAACTTTTTATGACATTTTAAAGATACCCAGGTTTATTTTACGATATACTTGTATATACTTGTATATTATTTTTTTATGTTGCCTTTGTAGTTCTTAATTTACATGTTAAAGACGAAAAAAAATGACGTGAAATATTCGAAAACTTTTCGAAGCTAGGTATAACTGCATAAGCACGCAATACTTGTTCCAATTCACAATTCTTGTAATTTTTTTTTAATCGCATTCTCTTCAAAGTTGTCAAATTTGAAAAACTTATGAATATACGCAGAAATTATGATAATAATGCCTTGGCTTTTAATTCGAAAACAATTGATTGTAATTATTGAGCAAAATCGATAAAAATTAAAATTTCTCTATTCTAGTTAAAAAAAATTTTATTTTTAAACTTGCTAAATATAATTAATAAAATAGAAATGTTTTTATAATTGCGCTATGTTGATGTATCTAGTGTTGCATCAATTATTAAAATTCAAAAATGGAGGCACACTATCATTAACTTTTGGTATTTTAATAAATTTTTAGTGTTTGATACATTTGAGGAATTATATCCGGTCTCGCGAGAGCAATGAAAGTGATACTGCAAGTGTGTGATTTTATTTCGGCAGCTGCTTTCTTCCGGCGCGTATTTACCAAAATCCTGCTACCTAACCTACCTCTATTCTGTTTCTGTTGTAACGAAGAGCTTTTCCCGAACTTAAAAAGCAACGTGCACAGTCTGGAACATATTTGCCATAAGTTTTTATTACCACCCAGCAACAGCGACTGCGAGACGCAAACAATATACTTTGATTCTACGCATCTCGTCCGCTAGACTATTAACAGAAATAGCGTATTTTGTTGTGGAAATAATGGGGAGAAACCAATCTCAGGATTTAAGAGAGAATTTAAGAATATAAAATATAAATTTGTGTGTATAAGAAGCATATAACTTGACGCACACTTATATGATTCTAATTATGTCGAAAATGGCTCCATTGCTATATTTAAAGGACAATTAATACAATATTTTAAGTTAATACCATATTTCTTTATCGAGAGACTCGTCTATATTATTTTTCCGCAAATTAATATTTCTTATTTAAAGTTCTTACATTATTCCAATACAGTATTTCCTATCTATATTTTCACGTTAGGTATGAATTAGACACGCGATTTCATTTCAACGCTTGGCTCTTTCGAGAGTCTTTATAGCATCCCCTCGAAAAATAAATGACGGCTTGGATGTAGCTTGTTGAATGCTTTGCTTATAATTTCTATACTTTTTGTCGACGTCTCATCGATTCTCGCACGAACATTCGCAGTTTGCGAAGCGTGATGGAATTACGTTGAACGGCATGACGCGTCAAGACTCCGAAGAATCGTAATTTATGAAAGTAATTAAAAAGCGATGGCGGAGAGCTTAGAAACGGGAATACTCTTTTGGCGAAGGGTGTAATACAGGACGGCATACGGTGCGCTCCTTATACAGGATGTCCGTGACTTTGCTCGTGGAAAAGTGCATATCGTTAAAGACACACGGTTTCATTTAGCCGCGGCTTCTCCGCGTCTTAATTTCTCCGTCGTGGTATGCTGGCTGGTAACAACTCGCGAAGTTAAAAAGCCAGTAACGGCAGTGTCTAAAGATAGTCATGTTATACTTTTTATATTTGTCTTTTTTTTATTATATTCTGCGCGCGACCAAAACTTTTCCGTTTCTTCTCCCGTGTACAACAACCGTCGTAATGATTATGAAACAGATGCTGTTCAAAAAAAGATGATATATATTTCTGTAAGAAAAATAAATAGAAATGTTCACGCACACACACACACACACACACACATATATTTGATATTTTTCCATCTATAACATAATGAAAGAAATAAGTTGATTCTTGAAAAAAAAATGTAGAAATTTATTTAAATCATTCATTTCGAGAAATTTTTTGTATCGACGCATCATTGAATTTTCATCATATTTTTCTTTTTACTAGAAACGATACATCAGTATTACACGCGGAAGGTTCGCAATCGTTAAAGCCGGTCCATTGGGCAACACGACTGTGCAATCAAGTCATAATTATGAAGCGAGTGCAGAGTAAATATTCGTGAGACCCGGTCACTTCTTTAACAGACAATAACGGAGCTATTTTATAAGGACCAAGTCTCTCTTCCACGGCGAAGTGCATATCATTAAAGACACACCACTTCATTGCGCTGGCTTGCTTCGCTCGAGACTTAATTTCTTCTCCGTAGAACCGACTGGATAATAGCAGACCCTTCCTAAAGTTCACAAACGTGAGTATACATCGTGACGGCGACATTCGCGTACAAAGATACGGAATGACGTTTTTTTACACTTTTTACCACAGCTTGGAGGACTGCCAAAGTTCGTTCATATCGCACAGTTGTAATTATAAAATATGCACGAGATAAATGTTCGCCAGGCCGTGGAAACCCTAGTAAAGCAATATGTTTTGTTACAACCTTTTTCCAAGCAAATGTTCGAGACTCTTTCTCGAGCTATCTCACTTTGTATTTGTTATTTCATTAATCATATTTGAAGCTTTCGCGTTTTTGTAGAGCTAAATTTAATTCGAACATTGGGATGTATTAAAAGCGTAAAATAATTACGTATTGATTATTGGAAATGTAAAAATGCTGATAGTATTAAAAAAAAATTACACGAAGCAAACTAATAAAAGTTAAAAATGATAAAAATAAACACATCAAATTGGTCTATTTTCATATGATTATAAGAGATGATTTAAGCGTGTATAAATAATTCGTTTTATAAAAATGGCATGGTTACAAGATGAATATGTCATGGAAATTTGAATGTAGACATAGAATCGAGTTACATACGATATTGATTAGTCGGTCACTCATCGGTGCATCAATGATTTTTAAATCGTCTCGAATCAGAATGATTGTACAACCGTTCTCTTGTGTTTTACTCCTCCCAAAAATTTCGATTCCGTTGCTGGCGAGCGGACGGGATAATGAGAAATTTTGCTCGGCTTGGTAAACGGAAGCACGCGAGTTCGCATAGAGTTCGTGCACGAAGATACTAATACTTTTTTCTATTTTTCACAACCACCCCCTGCGCAAAGTTCGCCCTGGGACTCCGCAGTACTCGCGGCTGGAATAGTAATTACAAGATATGTATGAGGCAAAAATATATACATATATATATATATATATATATATATATATTTATATATATATATAGTCCGAAGGAAAGGTGATAGAGTCGGATAATCCAGGACAAGTATGATCGATGCAAGAGATAAGGAGCCACCGGGTTTTACGACATCCTGCGACGGCGCGCAGTTTCCTGTAACATTGTGAGAGAGGGAGGGGGCGGGACGGGAGAGAGAGAGGAGATGGGTAAATTCTTCGTAACACGTTCCGCCGCCGAAAGGATTCCTGAAACATTTTTTTCAGGTTGAATCATCTACCGTCTTCTCGTGCGTACGCCAGGACGAAATGACGGGAGAACCGTTCCTTTTTCTTCCTCGCGCGCGTAAAAGATATCCGTAAACGTGGTAGCTCTACGCTCTCTCTACCCGCTACTCGTGATTTATTCACTCTACATACATAATCGTTCATCCATAAAGCGAACGGCAGATACCTTCTGCTCGGTTGCGTACGAGCGCGACCGGTATCTGTAGCAAATCCTCCTCTCGTGATTTATATTTATAGCCGCCGTAACTTGGCATCTTTTCCCGTTTTCCTCTACGCATAATTAGCCCTCAGCCAATCTCGGCCTAACGTAGGAAGGATCGCCATCCTATCGCGGGGAGCGTGATCGACCTTTCTTCTTCCCGCATAAAGTTCGATCGAAACCGGTGTAATTTGATCGAGTTCCATTTGCGACATAGTGTGTGACGAAAGGCATACGTACTTTATGCCAATCGTCGTCTTTCGTCGAAATAAGCACGGAGATCGCCGAGATGCTCGCCGAAATTACATGGAATTTCGATTTTTGCGGGAGGGAGGATAGCAAGAGGATCATCGTCTCTATCGCTTAATTATCGATCGAGTTAAAGTTCAGGCGGCGTTTCCACGACCGTGATCCATGACTAGTGTACAACAAACAATCCGCTTGACGCTCGAGACCGGTCCCACATTCTACGGGCACGAATAGCTAGAGCTAGCTTAGCTAACTCGCTCGCTCGCTCACTCGCGCGCGGATCGACACGAGAGACGAAATAGATCGCGGGAGACCGCTCCCACATCAATCATCTTTTGCAGTTTCGTGGTAGAAAGGATCGGTTGCGGAGCAAATCGTTCCATTGGGGGTCAATCTCGCTTGCGCAACGAGTCAACGTCGGGCCGCGCGAGCTGAGACAGCGGGCCCGAATAGAGGAGAGGAATACACCGAGCGCGCGTATAACTGGTCTTGTTGACTTAACGGATCAATTTGATGCAAATCACTCGTTTGCGAGATACACTGCCCCGTCGGCGGCGTGGATACCCCTCCGCTAATGCCAGCCGACTCGCTCTCGTGCGCGTTGCCGTCTCTCTGTCGTCGTGTCTGTTTACGGCGCAGCATTTGGAAATTAGCGAATGGGTCAATTATGGGCCAATGGAACGCTAGGGGTCCGGGCGACGCGGGGGAGACCGCGGCAGGGGGGGGCGAGGGGAGCGGTTGCGCGAACCGAAAGACTCGCGCGGGTCACGGGGTGACTGTGGGAATCCTCGTGACGCGTCCCGATCGTTTACCGCGGTTACGTGCGCCCTGCGATGTCGTCTTTTCGTTTTCCTCGTTGCGAAAAGGCCGGGCTTTTCAGCCTCGTCGCTTTCGTTCGATTCCCCGAGCGATAAATCTATGAGATATCTTACCTCGCGATGACACGTGGCGCGCGTCGTACATCTGGTCCATTTCATTGCTCTTACGATGCCTGATTACGATCAGAATAATGCGATAATAATTGAAGAGCCTGAGAGTATAGGACGATACTCTCTTTGTCAGATTTACGGTTTACTTTCCCTACGTTTCTATGTCGAATGTTTCATCGCGGAAATAAGATGAGCTCGTATATATTGATTTATTACATTTTGTTTTTTTTTTATCTGGATCTGAAAAATATATTAAAATTAAAAATCCATTTATTGCGTTTATACTTCTCGAAATATAATATATCTCTGTTTATGAAACTGTATCGTTGCGTGAAGATGCGCGTGTAGATGTAATTTTTTTACACTTTACATTCGTTACAATGAGTTCGTATATATTGATTTATTACATTTTATTTTTTTTTTATCTGGATCTGAAAAATATATTAAAATTAAAAATCCATTTATTGCGTTTATACCTCTCGAAATATAATATATCTCTGTTTATGAAACTGTATCGTTGCGTGAAGATGCGCGTGTAATTTTTTTACGCTTTACATTCGTTACAACTCTCGCTACTATTCGCGCTGCATCCTCAGTGTATCTCGAATTTCCTTCTCCTTGATATTGTGCGCTAGAATAAGGAGCGATTCTGAGCGGAATTTCAATTATCTGGCCCCAATTTAACTTCGCTGAAATTTAAAAATTATGTACGACCCTAGTGTTTCTCGCTACCGATTGCAGAGATTGTTGCTTCCATTAAAAGGTAATTAAATTACAGTCCGCGCTATATCGATTGCGAGAAACCCGGAGAGACGCGGTAGGTCATGAAGTAACTATACAAATCTTTGCGGCGCGCCTGTTTATCGTTCGCTCAAGTTGTAACAATGCAAATGTCTTCTACTGCTTTTAATCGACATTATGAACGAAACGCCCGAGGCAATAACATGCTGAGGCATGTATACGCTATGCGATATTAATTATTGATAATATCATACGATAGCGATTATCGATCTTCAATAACTTGGCGATAAAGGATAGTTAGTCGCTTCTGATTGTGGCCTTTTTCGCGTTTTATAAGAACGCATTAGAGATTACTGGAAGACCGCGCGCCTCGAAAGTGAATTTGCATCGACAATCTATTTCGACCTGCAGAATCTATCGGAAGGTATATATAGAACGAGGTGTCTATTCTCCGATGTAATGCGAAACGCCTGGAGTCACGAATGTACATACAGGAATATCGCGGAGGAGTCAGTCTGGAAATGGACGATTAGGTTATCCGAGTTAAACGGGCAAACGACTGTCCTGCATTATTAAAGAGCTTTCGGTGGAGAACGACGGGGTGGCGAGAGCGCGACGGGGAACGGGCGGCGGATCTAGCATGGGGAGCCAGTAGACGAGGTATTTATTATGGCACCACTTCCTGGCATACAGCTATTTCAGTCTTCATTCATACTTAGAGGCAACAACGGGGATTTAGCTCCTTCGTTGCGTAGGAATAGTTAGATTCATTCACGGCTTCGATGCTCGGGGTTGCGAGAGGGTTCATTCAGGATTTAACCATAAGCTCGATATCGCTACTTTTCGTCGACTTTGCCTGCGCGAAAAAAATGAAACGAATAGCGGTCGAAACAGGAAAATATTTCGAAATCTACATTTCTCTTGAATATTGAATTTAATATCTAAGCTAAGAATACAGAAACTCGCCATTCATAGTAATCGCCAATTATTGCAGATATTTATGTATAAATCTAAATTTACACAAGTGTTGTAGCATTGCTCAGGTGCTTATTTTTCGATTAAAAGACATATCGAGAATGCTATATTTAGAATAATTATAATAATACACGCAATATCATTTTATTTTATGAGCAATTTTTCGTTTCATTTTATAACTAACAATAAGTTATTATGTTGAGCGAGCAAATCTCTTGAATAAATTTTATTTTTCGGCCGACATCTGATAATATGATGATGATTTAAACGCTGATGTCAAAAATCATTCGTTCTTTTCTAAATATGTACTCGTATATGTATATCCACGTTGAAAATGTAAAGTAAATTTCTTTATGTAGAAATGTTTTTATTAACTCAAATAACTCGTTTCTCTTAGAAAATTCCATGTTGATTAATAGTACTATATATTTAGAAAGAAACACTTTAGATTTTTAAATGCTTATACAAATGTTGATATTGAAAAAAATTAACATGTAACATAGATGTCGATAAAAAAATTGATTTAATATGAATATCAAAATTTAAAAATTGTTGAAATTTTTATATTTATACGAGATTTATACAATACGATATCCATGCAAAAATTTATGTATAATACGAAGTTGTTGTAATTTTAATATTTATAATCACAAATTTGCATTTGGCGATCCAAAAAAATTTTTTAAATTTCGATTGCAAATTTCTTTACCAAGTCACACAACATCATATTTATAAAA